CTGGGAGACGTGCCGGAAGGGGCGTGTGCCTAGGCCGTAGGTGGGTTGTTGCGGGGGACAGACCGGAAGGGGTGTGTTTTCCCGCAGGTTGTTGGATCTGTTGCCGGGAGACGGACCGGAAGGGGCGTGTGCTTAGACCGGTAGGTGGGCTGTTGCTGGGAAACGGGCAGGAACGGTCTGGGCTTCCCCGTTGCTGTCTAGGGGCTAGGGGGCCTCGGGCAGCCGATCGTGCGCGTCACGTGCACACAGGATCCCAGCTCGAAGCGATTCTCTCGGGGTCGAAGTGACCCCGACTTTTACAACTTTTCAGTGGAGCCCAAAGGCAGAAGAGGCATCTGGCATCTGGCACGCTGCAGATCTACCAGCTGAGCCAGACTGATTGCCAGAAGCTGGACTTTTCATACAGTTAATTGTATTGGTGAGGAATTGCGCTGTCAACCCTAAGACATGTGATTCGAATCTGTTAGCTGCTCTGTGAAAGAAAGGGGCAATCTCCCTGCAATATACCATTTAAAACCAGGAGGGCCAGCTATAAATCGGTTCTGACTGGACTACACATAACTCACAATCACACCCACGCACGTGCCACATGGCAGGAGTATTTCCCAAGCTGAATAATGCCCACAACAGCTGCAGGAAGCATTCAGTTCAGTTGCCTTCTCAGCAGAACCTTTTGCAGCGGAGTCCTTGAACATATGCAGTCACACACTGAAGAAGGCTGAGCAGGAGCTGCTGCATTTTACTGGACTTTTACCTCGCTCTCGCTGAGACAAGCAAGTCAGCCAGAAGCTTCCCCTCCCTCTGAGACAGGTAGGCTTAGGTGACTAAGATCTAAGGAAGCCCAGAAAACGAACAGTACCTGGGAGTGCATGAGGTCTCAGAGCGAAAAGTTCCAGGAGGAACTGCTGATTCAGAATACCGCCACCCCCACCCTGCCCAGCAGGCCAAGGTCCCTCTGTTCACGGCTGACACTGCATTGAGAGCCTCAGCCTGCCTTCACCGAGGTGAATATTAAATAAACGTCCATTTGCTGTACACTGGGCTCTGGCTGTTTTTGGATCTAGCAGTTGGCGGGACCTTTCACAGTCCATCCTCCAACTGCTATATGGCCTTCCTGCAGAGCTCTTGTAGCCTTGGAGCAAAAGAGTTTTACTGCCACCCTAAAGGCAGGTGGTTGGAACCCACCAGCTGTTCTGCAAGAACAGTCTCTGAAAATCCACTGGAGGGTCAACTATGAGTCGTTTTCATTCAGTGAGATGAGTTTGCAGCAGCTGGAACAGGACTCAAATTGGTGCCTAGAGAGACCATGTAGGTGTTCTATCCCATAAGGACCCAGAAGCCTCTTCAACAGCTTCCATCTCAGAAAGCCAGCTGCTCCAACATTTCATTATCATACTGCCTCCTATACCAGCCATTTCCTGGAATTCTCCCTTCTGTATGAATAATCATGAAACTCCTCCTCACTTGAAACTTTCTAAGCCCAAACTACTCTGTACAGTGAGGCTTTGCTTCATCCCTCCATCTCTCCCTTTGTGAACTAGTTTCACTTGTGAAGTACTCTTTTTATTAAGCCTCTTTCTGTACTTGCAGGGAAAACTTGAACTCCTGTTCAGCTCTTCTTAGTTAGCAAGAGAAGACCCAAATTTAAGGAGAACACTGGGGACATTTCTTGGTGACCAAGGAGCTGGGCTGCCAACCCAAAGGCATACAGTTCAAATCTCCAGCTGTTCCATGAGTGAAAGATGGACAGTCTCCTCCTGTGTCGTTAACTGCCTCTGAAAAGTTGCTGGAGGGTCAGATATGAGTCAGTTCCAACTCAGTGGTACCCAATAACCACCACCAGCTAGAAATGAAAGCCACTTAACTCATTGTCATATAGTTGGAACTGACTCATCATAGCTGATCCTTCAGTAGATTTCTGGAGGCCGTAAATCCAACACAAGGACTGCTCCCCTTTCCCAGAGCCGCCGAGTATAGTTAAGGGTTAGTTAAGGTTGTTGCTAGGTGCTTTCAAGTCGAGCAGGACTCACAACAACCCCATGAACAGCAGATCTAAGACCTGCCCTATCGTATGCCATCCTCACCATCTCTGACACATCTGAGCCCACTGCTGCTGCTTTGATCCATCTCATTGAGGGGTCTTCCTCTCTTTCACTGACCCTCCACAATTCCAAGTTTGATGTCCCTTTCCAAGGGCTAACCCCTCCTAAAAGTCTTAACAAATTAAGGCAAGGCATGAAAATTCAGGGAAGGAAGAAAAAAAATTTTTTTACATTGTTAAGATAAAGTATACATTTTAACAAGCATCGTCTGTAAGTAATATAAAAATAATGGAATTCCCCATTGTGTCATATGCACTCATCTAATAAAAAATCTCCCAACATTTAGAACTTCATCAATAATTTAATCACAAATACAGCTTTTTCAGCATTAAAGAATTAAAGTCTCAGCTCTGCTGAATGTGCACTCAAGGTTTGAGGACAAGAAGAGCAGGCAGCAGCTCCCTGCACAACCTTTTAGAAAAAGGCGGCACTTCTGAAGCTGAAAAAAAACAGCAGCAGCAACATGCAAGCTTCTTGCCTAACCGTCCTGGGAAAGCAGGCTCCAAAGTCAGCAAGCAGTCAGCAGCCCTGACAGCCCCAGAGCGAGAAAACACCATGCAGCCCATCTTGGTGTGCAGGAGGGGGTGTCAGGGCCCATTTCTGAGAATGTATAATGTGAACACAAGCCCTAACATGGACCTGCCTGGAAGGAGAAGTGCTAGAAGCTGCAGGAGCTCAAACACCTGAGAGGTGCAGACAAGGCTGGAGAAGGGATGTCTTCCATGGTTCCAGAGACGGCTGCTAGACAACCCCCAAAACACAACGATAGCTCACACCACCTGCTAACCACAGACAAGTGTGATGAATGTGGCCAGCACTGGTGATGAGGGCCTGGCCTGGTCTCTGAGGCATAGGTGTTATGAGGCCAGGGACCAGCTGCCCACGGTCCAGCCTCAAAGTCTCAGGCTGAGAGTTCCTAGGTGGTGAATATGACCACTCCAGTGTCCCTGGGTGAGGGATGTGGCTGCCAAAAGAAATGACAGCCCCTCAGAGTAGGTGCACACCTGTGTCCTTAGCTGTGAGTAACAGGTGATTGACTTCCAGACAGGTTCAGAGGGTGCCTCCTACAGCTCCTTGCTCTGGTCACCTTTGGGTGGGGGGCTTCAGGGCCACCATTTTTCCAGCCTCCTAGGAGAGGAGAGGAGAATCGGTATAAATCACTACGAAAGACATAGCTTGGTCTCATTTCCCTTTCTAAGTTTTAGAATTTAGCTCCGTTTCTGCCAAAAGTACATGGCCCTTCCACTCAGTGGTGAGGCAGACAGCACAATCTCAGCAGCTGCTGTGCTACGTAAAGGGCAGACTTTCTACCACAGGAGAAAACACTGCAGAATGCAGACTTTCTACCACAGGAGAAAACACTGCAGAATACAAAGGGTAGAAGTGGCTGGTGGGGGCTCACCCTAGTTACAAGTTTGGACTTCCCAGCACTGGGCTTGGCAGGCGGTAGGGGTGGTGCAACTGGAGGCTTGAAGACCTGGTTAGAGCTGGAACCTCCAGAACTGAGCTTGGAAGGTGGTGGTGGGCGTGCAGCTGGAGGCTTCAAGACTTGGGAGGGGCCGGATCCTCCAGAACCAGAACTGGGCTTCGGAGGTAGGGCTGGCAGTGCAGCTGGAGGCTTGAAGATCTGGGAGGGACCAAGTATTCCAGAAATGGGCTTGGCCGGTGGCATCTGAGGCACAACAATTGGCCTGACAACCTGGAGGGGAGGCAGACACAACTGAGGATAGAGGTCACCTCACCTGTCTGGTGTCTTTACCTGATTACTGCCTCTCCCCAGAGCAGACTTGTCAGGAAGAGCCCAGCTCCTGTCTGGTCCACCACAACAGCCTCAGGCTTTGGCCCTTAAAGGGCTATCTCCAGCAGAAAAGCCCTTTGGTGACCACTGTACAAACAAAGCCACTACTCAGCAGATTGGTGGCCCAAACCTGCTGCAGGCTCACTGTCCACAGCACTCTGAGAATTTGGGGTTTTGGAAGCTCGAGAGCCAACGGCTGCTGAGACTTGTCTTCTCCTGTGAGTCTTCCCAGAGCAGGAGGAGCTGGGACTCAGGCAGACAGACACAGCGTCCTCACCCTTGAGGGCATGTGTGCAAAGACCTGGGTAGAGGTGTGGCAGGTCAGACCTACACTGCCTACAACCTCAAGTGCAGCATGATGCACCTCCTCAGTCTGACAGCACTCTTCCTGAGTTTGAAGCTCCTGTTGGCTAGAGGCATTCCTAAAATGACTTCACAAATTTTCCGTGAGTCTAAAACTCTCCAAAAGGAAAGATGAACAGAAAACTACTATGAAAACAAGTTTAGAATGCTACAAACTAACTCCACCAGTGGAGGCACACAGCTGTCTCTAGCTCTCACCTTCAAACTGTCTACTATCACCAAAGGGAAAGACAGATACAACTCAGCCTGAGGCCAGCATCCTCCTACTCCAACCACAGGCAGAAGGGTACCCTTCACTTCTGGGTTCTTCTAGACAAAAGGTTATGACCCCAGCCTCACAAAGACCCAGACAAGCTCAGTATGAGGGATGTAGCAGGACTCTTGCCGTGGTGTAAGAGGCCTGGGTTGGACCCTGGCTAGCGTAGCCCAGACACAGCCACCACTGTCTGTTGGTTGAAGCTGATGCATAGCTGGGATGCTGAATACATTCCAACAGAGCTTCCAGACTATGATGGAGCAGGAGAAGCTGGCAACCTATGTCCAGAAATGAGGTGGCCAAAACCCTGTGGGCAACTGGTGTCTGCCGCCGACAGGAACGGTGTCAGACCAGGCCCACAGTCAGTGTAAATTGAGGGGTGACAGTGAGATGGTGAAAGGCCTTGGGATGCTGGGAGCTGTCCCAGACTGGAGGCTAAGGACAAGTGGGTCCAGGTGGCCTTCTGGGACAGACAGCGTTGTCAGTAGCCTGGGGAAATCTCATGGGCAGCACTGCCCAGCGTCACCTCCTGGTCAGCTAAGCTGTGATACTGAGGTGGGAGTGCGGGAGCCTGAGCCAGCAGCCTCAGGGTGGCAGGCCCCTCTGCACTGGCCCTCAAGGAGACCCTGCAGACATGGAGAGTGGATGGTGATGACGGCCACACTTGGGGAAGTTTTCCCAGGGCCCCCAGGACAAGGACCTCCCATCACTCCCTGCCTTTACACCTCTCCCAGCTCTCCTCACCTGGACCCCTTGTACTACCCCAGTGAGAGGAATGAGGTCCGGCTGAAGAGGCCGTAAGCACCGGCAGGTGGGCATAGGACCAGTTGGCTGGAACCCGTGCCAGGCCCTACAGAAAAAAACCCAGGCTCTTCCTGCCCCTCCACCACCCCCTCCAGTGTTGCTGGAAGCAGCGAACCCAGGTGCTGGACAAAAGGCAATACACTGGAGTGAGAGCCCTGACTCCCCAAGCCCAGTCCATAGTGCCCTTCTTCTGGCCTTTTGAAACTCACTGGCCACGTCCCCCTCCCACAGGCCTTAAGTGGACCACAGCCAAGCCTGAGGTCCTCACGGCTGGGGTGGGATTTCTAGCAGTGACTTTTGTGCTCTTCCCCCAACGATTGGTAGAGGTGAGCCCAGCGGTGGGGAGCTAAGGCCTGCACAGTACCCCACACTAGAGTGGTAGACACCACACCACTGCACCATGGGTGGAGCAAGAAATGAGAGGAGCCCTATATTATACCACGCTCTACACAGGAGGCTTTAGAAATCAGACCACATGGGGATGATCTCAAGTGACTATCCCACAAAAGGAGGGACTAGAGGCAAATACCTCACCCCTTATGGAGGGACAAGAGTGGTGGGTCACGCCCCCACGAGGGACTGGAGGTAACTGACCAAGCCCCCGGTAAAGAGGGTCTGAAAGAGAACAGGGTTCTTCATTAAGCCAAACCTGCCCAAGATTCAAATTACTCATGTTCTGACTGAGCTCTCTGAACCCCTAAAACCTCACAGTTCAAAGCAGGAGAAACTAGGAGGCTGGGTCCTCTGGCCTTTGTGGCCTGTGGATCGAGCCCTCCTGCCCCAGGTCTTTCCAGGACATGCAGAGGGAAAGGGGGACCCTGAAGTCTCACCTGCTTGGACTTCAGCTCCAGAAGGGACTGGGAGGGAGGAGCAAGCCCTAGCTGCTGAGAGAAAGGAGAGTCTCACTTGCCTACCCTTCCAGGTGACCCGGGCCCCAGAAACTCCAATAGCACAGAGGCCTGGCTTCTGGCCCCATTTCCTGGTCATCCAGAAGCTCCTTCAGTCAAAGTTACTGGTCTCCTGCGTTCAAGTCACCCTTGGGAATTCCCAAATGAAGAAGTACGACCAGGTGACCCAAATCCAGCACCTGACTCCATCTCTACAGTGGAGGCTTACCTATGACGGCCCCCTGTAGTACATGGGTACAGGAAAGGGTGTGCTGGGCATGGGGGCAGTGGTCTGTAGAGAAGGGGGCCATGAACGTACTCCAGGGATCAGACACAAGGGGCCGGGCAGTTTGATCCCTCGTAGCTTCCAGGACACCCCCTACCCCTTCCTGAGGTCCCTGCCTCTCCTACAGGAGAGGGAGAACATTTGAGGGTCAACCTCAGTCATGTGGAGGCTTCCTAGTCAATGCTTCTGGAACCTTCCAAGGTGGACTGTGGAATTCTGTCGCTGCATTTCAGCCTCTTTAGTCCCTGTATGCAGGGAGCTTTAGAGGCTTAGCAGTAAGGAGTTGTGCTACTAAACCGGAGGTCGAATCTATCAGCTGCTCTGTGGGAGAAACATCGGCAGACTCCTCCCATGTGATATACTGCCTCTGAAAACCTGCTGGAGTTGGTTCCAACTCTCTAACGCATGGCAACAGTTCCATTGTGGGATGCGATGCTTACAATAGGGAGTGGCTGCATAGGGGTCCCTGTAGAATTTGAGAGTCTGGGGTGGTGGGGAGAGGCGGTGGTGGAGACCACTTGTGGAGGGTCCATGGTAGGGGCTGCAGCACGGCTGTTCCTTAGTGTACTGTCACCAGGCCCCTTGTGGAACAGGGCATTAGCGAGCCCCAGGGAGGTCTTGGGTGCCACATACCTGGGGAGAAAGGAAAGGAGCGGTCATTGGCACCCTGACCTGGGCCAGGTGCTCAGAGCTTCTGGGTTTGTGGACTTCTGGCATCAGCTCAGCTGCTTGGCATTCCAGGGAGAAAAGGTCACAGGGATGGTTGGGGGCATGGTCAAGTGCTTGCTATCCGGGCAGTGCTCCCTATGCCAGTGTGGAGCGGACTGTCCACTGGAGGTGGCAGCCACACCCCTCACTTAAGGGACACTGCAGTGGTTACGTTTACCACCTAGGGGCTCTCAGGCCAAGACTTGGAGGCTAGACTTTGGGCAACCGGCCAGGCCAGGCCCTCATCACCAGTGCTGGCCACATTCACCACACTTGTCTGTGGTTAGCAGGAGGTGTGAGCTATCGTTGTGTTTTGGGGGTTGTCTAGCAGCCTTCTCTGGAACCACGGAAGACATCCCTTCTCAAGCCTTGTCTGTGCCTCTCAGGTGTTTGAGCTCCTGCAGCTTCTAGCACTTCTCCTTTCAGGTAGAAGGTCTACCTCCTGGCTTGTAGCATGGCGTGTGCAGGTGTGTTCTGGGTGCCAAGCAGGCCCTGTGTATCTGCTGTATCTGTGAATTCTGGCATCATGGAACTTCCAGGTGTCTTAGGGAAAAGTGGGAGCAGGTGGGGGTTGCAGGGGCAATGTGGGGCTCTGTCTGTCCTCTCTTTGTACTTACATCATGGTTATGAATGGAACTGTGGCTCTCAAAAAGATATGCTCAAGTAGTAGGTCTGGCCCTGCCCATGGCCGTGAACTTATCTAGAAGTAGGGCTGGTGAGACGTGACTGATGGGATTAGTCTAAGGCTACCCCAGGGTGAGGAGAGCCCTGGCCCTTGGAAGAAGCGAGAGAAAAGAAAACCTTGTGAGTTGCTCTGAGAAACACCTGGACTAGTAGTGCTGGACCAGAGAAGGAAAGGAGGTGGACCCTGCAGAGCGGGTGTGGCCTCTGGCCAGCAGGAACCCTGACCTCAGAGGCTGCCAGACAGAGGATAAATCTGGTCTTCTAACCCTCTTAGTTACTGGTGACTATTAGCAGCGGGCCCAGAGAAGTTACATCAGTAGCTGTCATCAGAAAGTGGCCCCTTCCTGTCTTAAAGAGTCAGGAGCCCAGATGCACATGCAAAACACATACATGGACATGTGTACACACGCATGCATGAACACAGAGGGACACACGTTTAAAGCACACACAGGCACATGCACACACACATACAAGTGCACACACAGTGACACCCTGCAGTGCAAGTGTGCCCTCACCTCTTGTGTCTGCTGTGGTAGAGAAAAATGCCCACCAGGAGGAGTATCAGCCACAGTACTGACAGCACCACACCGACCACTGCTCCTTTGGACAGGCCTGTAGACACTGTCAGCCACAACAAGCTGCTGTTAGCGGGGACAGGGCCTTAGCCCATGGCTTCTCTGTTCAGTCTCCCACTGAATACACTGTGCATCTAGGCCCCACCTTGGCCAAGCCCTCCAAACTCAGAGCTGGCTCTGAGATGCCCAGACGCTGAGCCTGCCCCCAGGAGCTGACCAGAGCTCTCACACCGGGCCCTGACCCCAAACCAGCAGACTCAGTGCGTCACACCAGTGCTCCAGGCACTCTGGGGGCTCTGGCAGTAGTTCAGAAGACTGGGCTTCAGTGGTGTGGGTTGGACTGGGTGGTGTCCTAGAGACCTCGGTTCTGTGGTTGGTCTCTGAGGAGGTAGGCCCTGTGGAGGGGCTAAAGACTGCTCTGGGAGCCTGGCCTGGCCCAGTGCCCTGGTTACTGCTATTCTCCCTGCCCCTTGCCAATCTCTGCATAGACACGGTGGGGCTATGCTGGCTGTGCTTATTAACACTCCCCAGTCAGCTCTGGCTGCCTCAGCCCCAAAGCTGTCAGGAAAATGAGTGGCCCAGGATGTCACCCCCACCTGTGGTCTTCCTTGTGGTCACAGTAGACCCAGGCTGCGCGCAGTGCGGCGGGGCCCAGCCTGGTTGGCAGTGGCACTTATTCTCATGGTTGCATACCTGGAGGACGACAGGTTGGCAGGTGGGCTAGAGGGCAGTCATGGAACCTTGAGGGGCGGTGAGGGACACTTTCACACAGAGGGGTTACAGCTGTCAATTCTTGTTGTCCCATAAGGCCTCTTGAAGGCCCCTCCCCAAACCCTGAGGCTTCACTTCAGCCCACAAGCCCCTGCCTCATTCCTGGGGCAGGATACCCTATCCCACCCAGGGCTAGGCCTGAGGGAGGGAGAGTCCCAGCCGCTTCCAGGATAGACTTTCTGTCACACAATGTTAGAATGACAGGATGGGATGGGGACAGCACCACAGGCACCAGCTGACTTCTGCTAATTCCGCAGAGGCCTGGGGGAGAGTGTGCACCTGTTTGCATGTATGAGCACAGCTTGCATACACATATGCACGCACAGCGTACACATGTGTATGTGCGCACATGATGTACGTATATGTACATATGCATGGCTACACATGTGCATGCACTTGCCTGGCATGCACACGTGTATGTACAACACTGATGCGGGTATGCTGTAGGTCCCTGTGCACATGCATGTATCTGTACACATGTGTATGGGTGTGAGCTGTGTATAAGCACCTGCCTGTGCTTACCCTTGAATGTCTATGTGCATGCACCTGTGTATGTGCACCTGTATTTGTGTGCTTGTGTGGAGTGTGCACCTGTGTGTGTGCACTGTGTATCTGCAGGTATGGATGAAGGTGGGCAGGGCAGTGGCCAAGGGTCTTATCCACTGAGCAGTGCAGGGTGAGCAGTGTTAGGATGAAGTCTGCTCGCATGTCAGCTGGTATGATGACCAATGGCCTCAGCTTCCAGCCACGACACTTGAGGTGTGGGCTATCCCACAGTGCCAATGGCTGGCCTCTGCTCACTGCCACCAGGCACGCCCTGTGTCCAAATGTCCCCTTGAGTCAGGCCAGCCTTTGGATGCGCTGTCCCAGAAGCCCAACTCACCCCGTGGCCATTGCACTTAGCAGAGCAGTTTTTGATCCTGTAAACGTCCAGATCCTGGCAGTGACTTTCCCAGCAAACCTGGAGAAGGGCAGTGGCTTCTTAGGCACCTGGTCTCACAGAGGTGGCTGCACCTTTACCGAAGCCCCAGCCCAGCCCACACCAGGGCATGGATATAGACCCAATGAGGAGATGAGTGTCCTCAGGTTCATGGTCTTGTCCTGGGCCACCACTCACAGTGAGTGAAGTTTTGGTCCTGCCAGTGGCTTGTGCATACCCACCTGGCTGGAGAGGCTCCTGAAGCAGGCAGCCTAGCTCACCTTGCCCTCGCCACATCTGGTGCCCACTGGGACAAGTTCATAGGCCCCACCCTGTTCCACGAAGAGTGCCTGGCAGTGCTTGCCCTGGGGCTTTATGGTGCAGGAGCCATGCATTTGGGGCTGCTGGCCACCTTGGCAGAACAGAATGGTGCACCGGTCTACCCTGCAGACAAGGACACATGGGCCACTCAGCAGATACCAACCCTCCCTCTATGAGGGGCAGGAGGACCCAGGGAAACAAGAGGTTCTTTAAAAAGCTCTCCCCCGGGAAGCTCTAGTGGCAAGAAGCTGCTATGCAATCCCAGAGGTATGCAGTTCAAATCCACCAGATGCTCTGCTGGAGAAGGAGGGGTAAACTCCTCCTGTACCAGTCAGATCTGATTTGACAGCGCGCGCACACACACACACACACACACACCCTCCCCCCTGGCCCTGTGTCCACCGAGGCCCTCTGGTGGCCTGTCTGCATTTACGTGCATGCCTGTGTGCAGGAGCACACGTACAATGTGTGACTGGTGAAAGGCCTTTCCTTACAGCAGCCTTACTTGGGCCCCTGCACTGGCTAGGAGTCCCCTGAAGCTCACCCTTTGGGTTGTAGCCGGCTGTGGCAGGATGGTAAGAGGTCATAGGTGAAGCAGATGTCCTCACTAGCCTGTGCATCTGCAGGACCAGGCAGGTTATCAAGGAGCCTGCAGGCCAGTGGCTGCCCCCCACCCCGCCCCACGTGGCTTCACCTGTCCTGCACAGTGGCCTCACCTGGACCCCACAGCTTGCGGCACCTCTCTTCCATTGTGGGGCAGGCCCCGTTGTAGCAGTAGCCCTCCGTACAGGGAGTGCCGTTCTCCTGGAAGGTGTCCTTTGGACACTCGGGCCCATGGCCATCACAGTACTCCTCAAGATCACACATATCCTTGCGGCCACGGCACAGCTCTCCGGCTGGCTTCACCTGCCCAGTGGAGGGTGAGGTCTGAGCTCAGCAGTTTACCACACCCCAGGGTCTCCCCTGGCTGGTCTGGGGAAGGGACTAGAGTTCAGTGGTGGAAGGTCCCTCAGCTCACCTGGCATTTGTCACAGCAGGGACCCTGGGCACATGCAGCCCCAGGGACCAGGTGGCAGGAGGTGGCGTTGCAGCAGGGATTCTTGCACTCCTGGGAAGAGAGGGGGCATTAATAGCAGGTCAAAACCACACAGGTCAGCATCTATGCCCTTCAAACAGCTTTCTGTTCAGGACTCACCCACCTGTAGTAACCCCACCCCCAAGGGCACACCTGTGCTCCCCTTTGGTGATGCCACAGAGCCTCATGGCTGACCTGTGCTAATCCCCACATGCTCACTCCTGTGGGCAGAGCTGTGCTCACCTGTGGTGACCCACAGTCACACTGCTCGCCACGCTCCAGCAGCTTGTTTCCACACAGGGGGTCACTGATGAGCTTGCTGGTGTCCAGCTCACCCAGCAGGCACTCTGTCTGAGGTGTATCTGCGAAGGCCTCATAGTCTGCTTGGCTGCACTGGCTGAACCTTTTGGGGTACTTGGTGCTGCGAGGGATAGGCTCTGTCAGCACCCAGTGGTGCTGCCGCCACTAATCCGCAGGGTGGCCCATAGCCCAGGCCAGTGGGCCTCACCCCATGCTAGTGGCCATCACACAGCCGCCCTCCGCCTGAGGCACAGTGCAGTAGCAGCCATGCACATTCTCATCGTGGTCCATGGCCAGGTTGTGGCCCATCTCATGAGCTATGGTGGATGCCAAGAACAGGTAGTGGCTATTCTGGTCCTGTGGGCAGGGCAGACAATGCTCGCTCAGACTACCTTGGCCTTTACCCACCTCTCTGCTCCCAGGGGCAGCAGAGGCCCAGCACTCTCAGATGCCAAGATCCCTCAAGAGGCCCCAGTGCTGGGACCTTGTTTCAGGGCCACCCTCTCATCCCATCAGCGGTCTCCCACACACCTGGTTTACACCTGCAGAGACTTTCCGGGAGCACATGGCAGACACAGTGGCCAGGCCCACGGTGAGGCCGGTGAAGTCCACGTTCCTGGAGCAGTGTGTGGTCAGTGGTGGCCATGGGCCACAGGCTTCCTGCCCTCACATACTCCTCATGATGTCCCCTTAGGGCACTGTCTTCTCCCACCCACCTCTCACGAGAGTGCCCCCGCCAGCCCACTGACTCTGGCCTCTCACGTGATAAAGTGCTCACCTCCCCAGGTCAGGGGTTCTCGCTGACCTCTCAGGTGGTGGGATGTCCACTTCCCAGGCCACTGTGCCCCCTCCAAGCCTCTCACAGCCCTCAGTCCCCCAGTCTCGCATATAACTAGGTGAACTCCCCGCCTGCCATGCCCTACCCCCAGCCTTTTACAACTAGCTGTTCCCCAGCCTCTCACCTGAAAAGGTGGCCCCCCCCCAAGCCTGCTGACCCCTGGCTTCTCACCTGATGAGGTGACCCCAGCCCACTCACTCCTCCCTGGTCTCTCACATGCGAGGTGCCCCCCCCCCCAGCCTGTTGACGCCCCCAGCCTGCTGACCCCTGGCTTCTCACCTGATGAGGTGACCCCAGCCCACTCACTCCCTGGTCTCTCACATGTGAGGTGCCGCCCCCCCCAGCCTGCTGACCCCTGGCCTCTCGCCTGACGAGGTGCCACCCCCCACCTGCTGACCCCTGGCCTCTCACCTGACGAGGTGCCACCCCCCACCTGCTGACCCCTGGCCTCTCACGTGATGAACTGTGCGTTGTCATTAGGGTGTTGTGGAAGCAGCTCTTGCTCCCTCCAGGCCTGGAAGTTGGCCAGTGTAATTTCGGGCTCAGGGCTGACCACAATCTTGTCCTTCGTCCACATTTCCAGGCCCACCAGGACCACTCGGAGGCTGAGTGCCTGGTAGAGCTGTGACAAGGTATGTCCACATCAGCTGGACCTTGGGAGCTTCCAGGAGGTCAGGAAGTAGCATCACCCCAAGGAGGGGCAGAGTGGTCTCTGCCCAGTTTAGAGATGGGCAGTCTCTTTTCTGTTCCCCACCAACTGATGGCCAGTCGCACCCCTCTGCCTGCTCAGAGCTGCAAAGCCCCTAAACCAGGCTTCTATTAAGCAGGCAGTGCCTGCTGTGGGGTGGGTCCAAGGGCTCCTTCAGGGCCATGTGGACAGCAACCTGACAAGTCCAGCAGCCACTCACCTTGTCCACGTGGTTTACCACCTGCAGCACCCGACTGCGAAGGGTGTCACGGTCCCCGTACCGCTGGGTCTGAAGCACAGAGACTCTAAGGCCCCAGCCCAGCCCATCTGGTTCCCACCCACCTGACCCCCATCAGGCAGCCGGACCTCGGTGCTGTCCGTGACCACATACAGCTCCACATGCCGGGGCACTTGGGGCAGTAGCTGGCTCTGCAAGTGACAAGAAGCTGTGAGGCACCTGGCCACTGTGGCCACTGGCTTATAACTGTGTTGAGGGTGCTGAGGGTAAGTGGCAGGCCATCGTGGGGCAGGGCCAGCCACTCACCCGGGGCCTGAAGGCTGCTGCAATCCTTGGTCCCAGGATGTGCATAAGGTTGGCATTGCTAACACCGCAGGTGGAGTGATTTGCCTTGGGGGGCTTCGCCTTGAGGTGCTGCACCAGGTACAGAGCATGCCGACCCTCCTCCTCCCCATCCAGGGGCTCAATCAGGTGGACAGTTGAGCCTGCCTGGAAAAAACCCCTGAGGGGAGGAGCCAGCTGTCTCTAGTGCCATGCAGAGCAGGGCAGCCCCTCTCTGACAGGGCCTTCTGGCTTGGCCCAGGGTCTCCACTGGGACCCCGACAGGACCTGTGACTTCACCACTGGGAGGGAGAAGGGCCAAAGCTGACACTCCTTGGTGTTCCTCAACACAGGTGAGGGGTACCCACCTGAGACCATCACAGGTGCTGATGCTGGTGGCCGAGTCTTGGTGCCCCTCTACATGTCCCTGGTAGAAGCAGTGATCCTGCAAGGGGGTGGTGGATGGCTTTGTGTCCAGACCTTGCCTGTACCCCACCCTGAACACTGTCCAGGTCTCATACCAGTTCTCCCAGCTGCTCCACCACCTCGGAGCCATTGGCAGCTGTGTATGTCTCTGTGTAGCCCGAGGCCAGCAGGTTTCTGCAAAAGAGCTGCTCTCATATCTTGGGCTGTGGTGAGGATGGTCTGGGCCCAGGTACCCACATCCCCCAGGCCACCCAGGATGCCAGGGCACCTAGGTACCTACCTCCCCTAAGCCCTCCAGGACGCCAGTGTGCCTATGTCTCCCTCAGGCTCCCAGAATCCCCAAGATGCCAGGGCACTAGCTGCCACATTCTTCACATCCCCCAGGCCCCCAAGATGCCAGGATGCCTAGGTGCCCACATTCCCCACCCCCCAGGCCCCAAGGATACCAGGATACCTAGATCCCCATGTCCCTCAGGCCCCTAGAATCTCCAGGATGCCTACATTACATGTCCTCCAGGCCTCTCCCAGGCCCCCCAGGAAGCTAAGGATACCTAGGTCCCCATATCCCATCCCTCAGGTCCACCATGTCCCCTGTGCCACCAGGCCTACCATGTCCCCCAGACCTCCTTATGTCCCCTAGATCCCCCATGTCCCACAGGATGCCAAGGTGCCTAATTCCCCATGTTCCCCACATCTCCTAGTCCCGCTTCTGGACATCTAGATCCCTAGGTTCCCCACGATGTCAGGACAAAGGTGTGCAGGGTCAAGGTGCATGTTTTTCAGACAGGACTGTAGGATGTGGCCCCAGCTCACCTGTTCTTCCGGAGATGCAGGGTAAAGCTGTGCTCCCCAGCCCCAAGGGCGTAGCTCACACTGTCTGGATATAGGTTCTGAGAGAAGTTGGGGTCAGTGGTTTGCCAGTCCATACCCAACTTCTGCATCTTGGATGTTTGGCCAAATGAGCCCTAGAGCCTGAAGCTAAACCCCAGGCCATGAGCGAAACATCCCAGAGGGCCAGAGACCAGATGTGGACCTGCCCCATGCCTCACTGCACTACAGCTGGGCAGGCCTGTTTATGCATCTGTCTACCAAATGGCATCTGACACATCTGTGGTGGGGTGAGGCCGTTCTGGGGGGCCCAGGGCCAGTGTCTGGGCACCCTTTCTCACGGAGCCCATGGGAAGTATGAACATGTGCACATGTTTGCACATGTATCATTGCACGCATGCATACATGTCCACCTTCCTATGTCTTAGGGTTCAACCCGAGAGGAAATCACAAGCCGTTCTTGGTTCCCCAAAGGAGCAGCCCCATCCCCAGAGCCCTGACATCTGCACCCTCAGGGCTCCACTGGTTCTCCAGCCCTGGGAAATCCCACCCAGACCCAGTGGTCCCCAGGAAGGTGCGTCAAGGCCGACTCACCACTCCAGTAGTGCCAAGTGAAACTGGGACTGGCCACTGAGTCTGCTGCTCCTGGCCCCCACTTCCCTGAGCTGCCTGATCTTGGCCAAGAGGCCACGAAGACAGCATAGTTTGGGAGCAGAGTGTGACCCTCAGTCAGCAGATTATCATAGCTGCACTTGCAGGTGGTAGAAAGTGAGGGACAGGGAGGGCCCACCTAGGAGCAGATAGGCCCTCCCCAGGGGGACCTCTCCCAGAGCCTCCTGGAGCCTCAAAAGCCAGACAGTCACACAGAGCTCCTGACTCCTTGTCTTAGATGAAATCAGCCCTCCCGGTGAGCCAGGGACCCCTGGCTTCCTGGTGCAGGGTGGGGAGACTCACCCAGTGGGAGTCGAGGGATCGACGGGCACGGGGTGTTGGCAGGCGCTCAGGCCACACCACCTGGAACTGGTGCACATGGGGCAAGAGGGGCCGGGAGGATGTCACTGTGGGAGATAAGGGGCTCAGAGAGGTGCAGCCCTGGATGCTGCCCCCACCTGGGAGGAAGTCACCATGCATCCTGCCGACGGCAGCTCCAGGAGCCCAGAGCTGTGCACCCCACCTGACCACAGCCTCTGCCCGCCTGGCTCCCAGCTGCCTGTCTAACCACATCTGCTTCAGACAGACACCTACGGGGATCCAAGCCGCTGGGAACCACCTGGATACAGACCTAGAAGTAAGGGTTGGGGACAGTCTGTACCTTCCAGAGACAAATGACTCAATAATGGGCAGCAGGAGACAGGGGGATGGCGAGCTCTAATGGTCCCAGAGCTGCTGCTGGAGGTGGTGGTCAGGCGCTATTGAGTCCACTACAATTTATGACGGCCCGACGAATGACAGATGTTAGTCCTGCCCCTTCCTGTGGCATCCTCACCCTCTCTGCCATGCTCAGACCAGTGTTAGTCACTGTCAATCCATCTTGTTGAAGGTCTTCCTTTTTCTTTTGACACTCCATATTTCCCAGCATGGCTTAAGGACTGGTCCCTCCTATTGTTGTTAGGTGCCGTCGAGTCGTAGACGACTCATAGCGACCCTACGAACGAAAGACCTGAGCACTTCGTACGTAGTTTCCGGAGGCAAACCATTTCGGAAGTGGATGCCGCTCCTGCTTCCAGACTTGGACATGTCCAAAATATGTGAACCAAAGTACACCTTCCCTGGCCCTGTGCAGTGATCTTAAAAAAATGCCTTCAATAAGTGTCAGGTAGCAGGAAGGGCTGCCTGGGGGCCAGGAGGCCTCTTTCCTCTGCCTTCTTCAGTCTTGCCTCAGGGACCACAAAACTCTTATACGGTGAGCCCCTGGAAAGGGGGTGAGGGGCAGCAGAGCCTTCTCCAGGGCAGAGAGTCCCCCATCTACCTTAACTCCCCCATGCAGCCCCTATTACAACACACTCTTTGTCCGTACTTCCCTGGGGACCCAGCCATCCTCAGCGCCTAGCAAGTCCTCTTTGCTCTGGTAGCTTCTTCAGAGGTTCCTATTCCTCTGCACTGAGCCCGGCCTGCGGTGCCCTGTGCCCCACCCCGACCACAGCTTCCTGGGAGGCTCCTCACCTGGCAGCCAAAAGACGCAGAGTGCGGTACACACCCAGAACGTGAGCTCGAAGCCGGTGCCACACATTGTCTGGGAAGGGGAACAGGGTGTCCTGCCGGCCGCAGGGTGAGAAGACTCTGGACCGGTTCTGGTCCCCAGAGCTTCCCAGGGTGGTTCATCCCCGCTAGACTCCGCCTTGAAGACCAGACCCAGTTCTCCAGCCAATCCCCATAGGTCACGTGGCTAGGGTGGGGCCACGTGGCCCCGCCCCTCTGGAACCTTCTGCACACCTTTGTGACCCCTTCTCCCTGGCCCACTGCCTTTGTGACCCTACACGCTGCCAGGTGGCGGAACAGGCACCTCCCAACCTCCCCACGATGGAAGGAGATACCGGAGGTGGCCATGTCTCCACAGGGAGACCGTGTCAAGTGGTCAGCATGGCTAGATGACGGCTAGCATGACACTACTGGTGACCAGAAGTCACTCAACCATCTCTGTGCAAATCCAGAGCCAAAAAAGAACAAGTGGTGTGGATGCAACAGGTCTGAGGGAGTTGAAGCTAAAGCCCCTGGTGGAGGGTGGTTAGTTCTCGTCATGGGAGGGGTGGCACTGAGCCCCACAGAAGCCTGCCTGGTGGAAGATGGCCAGTCCCTGCCATAGGGGAGACGGCACACAGCCTACAGTGTAGAGGACTCCAAGCCCACACGACAGACACTCAGCCCCCTTTCTCCCACAGCCACTTACTCTGACCACGTTCCTCACTGGTCATTTGCAAGCCCCAGCGTGTAGTGGGGAAGGCCACCTCTTGAAGTCCAGAATCTTCCAGACCCAGGCTTTCTGGCCTCAAAGCCAGCAGGAGACTGAGCTGAGGTTCTCCGGCAACTGGGGTGTGTTCAGCCATTGGGGGTAGATCAGAAGAGGAAGTAGCTGATGATTTGGAACTAAGCCCTGCCCAGCTCTGGGGCACCCCTCCTCAAGGCAATGGGGGTGTGGAGTTCCCGCCAGGAGGTGGCCTTCAGCACCCTGGTCTTTGACCTTCCCTCACCAGCTCAGCGCCTCTCTGTAAGGTTTTAGCTGCCAGGCACAGCTGGGCCACCTGTAGCCACCTTTACACACTTCTTACCTCCCCCTGCCTGGACAAGCTGGTGGCCACCCAGGGACAGGACAGTAGCTGGAGATGGGGTCATACAGGGCCGGTGCTGCCCCCTAGTGTAGGCTGGCTTCAGGTGGGCGCCTGTCAGTACCCATGGATGCCAGACTCTCTCCTCAATGCTCGTTGCAGCCACTTATTTTTATCCAGGACAGGTTTTCATTTCTTCTTTATTTGAAGCCAAAACTTCAGAACAGAGCACAAAACTCTTTAGCAACACCAAACAGATGTGCAAACCTGGCACCACCCAACCCGCCCGCTGCCTCAAGCTTCAGGGATGTACGTGTGCAAGTGCACGTGGTGCATGTTGTATACAGTGTACATGCATGTTGATGACACATGAGCCCCCACATCTGGGCAGGCACCTCCTGGGGGCTCACTGGGCAGCAACGGCAATCCTGGGTGCTGAGGCTGTTGAGGGCACCCTTGGTGCAGGCGCGTGGGGTGCTGCCTTCTGACTCCTCTCAGCAGAGAGGCGCTCGAGCCGTTCAGTGTAGAAGCCGTTGAAATCAAGCCTAGGGAGGGGGTCAGTGTCTTGATGGGGCTCTTTGCCTGACGTACCCTCACCTTGGGTCCCACCTTCTGTGGCTAATGCTTTGGAGTGGACACAGTATCAGGAGCATGACCAGCTAGGCACCCCTTTTCCTGAAGTCACAGCTCCCAAGGCTGTACAACCGCATACGCAGAGCAGAAAACCCAGACCCCTGGAGACAGAGCTGAGGCCGAGCTGCGGGCAGTCACCTGCCCCATGGGGAGAGTGCTCTACTAGTTAGGAAAGAGGGTCTCCTGATGAATGCTCCCCAAGACCCCTCACCACATGCCAGAGCCTTCCCTGCTCACCATCCCCTCATCTCCGCCCAACCCTGGCCCCCCAACTGGAGAAGACGCAATTCCTGTTTTGGTCGGCCTCCTCATGTCACCCCCACCTGGAGAAGATACTGGCCTTGCTTCTCTCCCAGCCCCACCCACCTGGATATGACACTGGCCATGCTGTGCTCGCAGTCACTGGTGCTGTAGATGCTCAGTCGGGCCAGAAGGTCAAGGAGGTGGGCAGAGAAGTTCTTGTCAAACTTGTTGATGGTGGCCTCGAAGCCAGAGGCCACTTGTGAAGCATCCATGTGCTCGGCCAGGTGCTGAGGGAAGAGTGGCTGTTTCGTGAGCCTGAGCTGCTCCATCGGCTCCTCGCTGCTGGGCCAAGGGCACCTCCTCCTCCCTGCAGCCCTACTGAGCCCAGGACCAGGTCCTCATATCCAGAGGCCTGTGGACGCGGTCAAGACTGTGACCTCCAGACACATATCTAGCAGGGCCCCACCCATAGGTATGTGGCCAGCCAGATGCCAGAGTTGCACTGCCCGCCTCAGTACTGGCCAGTGAGTCAGGTGGTAACCATCCACTCTTCCTAACCCTAACCCTCAGGTGGCCCTAGCTGGGAACAGGAACAATATGGCCTCCATCTTACCCACGCATCAGCCTCTCCTCCCAACTTGGCCACTGTCCTGGGCAGCTGCAGCACAGGAACCCCCTCCCAGGGCCCTCTGAGCACCTCCTGCTCTGCCAGGTGCCCATGGCACAGGGTCCAACGCTGAGAGGCTGGTGCTCATCTTTAAAAATCACAGGTAGAGTGACCACTGCCTGTCTGGCTAGACAGGAGAGCCATGGACGGGGTGGGTGGGCATGCACCTTCTTGGTGAGCTTCTTCCGGGTATTCTCCTCAGCCCGCTCGGCCTCAGTGGGTGGCCCCAGCATGGTTCCGTGCTCTAGCGTCAGACGGCCCAGCTCACTGTCCAGCTTCATGCTCTGTGTGAATCTCTGGGGTGACAAGGGAAAGGATACTTCACTGGAACCACACACCACCTGCAGAAACTACTGAGAGTGACAATCGAGGCATCCACGTGCATGTGGATGACCTCAGTGGTCACTCAAGGTCTCAGATCCAGCTGGCTAAGCTGGGCTGGAGATGCCAGTCTACCTTTGGCATTCCATGCACTCTTCTTCCTAAAGTTGTCACTTCTTCTCAGAGTCTCCCAACCCAAGGACCTGCTGGAGCCCTGCCGTCTGACTCCATCCTACACTCCTGCCCCTGAGACAGACCCTCCTTCCTGGGCCCACCTCATACTCCTGCCTGAGCCCAGATCCTCCTTCCTAAGACCACCTACGTTCCTGCTACTGAGCCAGGCCCTCCTTCCTGGTCTACCCCACATTCCTGCTTGAGCCTGGCCTCTACCTCTTGAGAGCAGGTCCATGATCCCTTCCATAGCAGTGACTCTGGAGTGCTCCACCCACTGGTGACACAGACCTCGACATGCTCTTACTAATATCACATCATCCTTTCCTGCACAACAGATCTAGGCACCAATTATAATTCATGCACTGCCCTCAAGTCAGAACCCACCCATGGCTAATTCTTGAGTGGATTTCAAGGTTGTAAACTGCATGGGGCATGGGAGGAGACTGCCCATCTTTCTCCCGTGGTTACTGGGGTTTGGTCTCAAAGAACTACACCTTCAGAGCTCATCTGATTAGGGCAGAAGACCAGAACATTCTCAACTGAAACACACAGCACAGGCTCTGACAATGAGACGGTGAGGTCTGGGGCCCAAGGGACAGAAACCCTGTGGTGAGGTATGCAGGGAAGGGAAGGGGAGTTAGGGCTGGCTGATGGCACCTGCCCCACACACCTGCATGCAGTTGGTGAACATGACACAAACAGACATGAGCTTGGAGAAGGCCTTGAGCAGCTCCGGGGTGGTCAGCATGCAGTCTTTGAGGCAGTTGTCTAGAAAGCTGGTGTGGTGGCCGAGGACATCGTCAATGTTGGAGGCCTGGACGGGGTGGGATGGTGCACAGGCTTAGCATGACCTACATTTCTGTGCATGTGCTTTGTGCCGACTGCTAGGCTTCTTTACACTAAATGCAGGTCTTTCCAAACCCCAGAGCTAAACGTACGGCTGCTGGCTGACTGACAAGGACCCTGCAGGACAGAGAATCTGCTCTTGGTGTACCCAAGGCTGTAAGCATTATGGAAGCTGTCATCTCTTACTCCTCTGGACTAGCTCGTGGGCTGAAAATGATCCCCTAGTTAGAAGCTAAGAACTTTAACTACTGTCCCCAGGGGTCTCACACAGTCCCAGCATGAGTAGTTCAGGCCCTGCCCTCCAGTCTGCAGGAGGAAAGTCAGAGGGTGGGACTTGCTGCACTGTCAAGTTTCCAGGGCTCAGAGGTGATGGGGTCTGGCTGACAGGTGCCTCAGAGCCCAAAGCTCTCCCTGAGGCTCCAGAGCATCTCGAGACTGATCAAAGCTCTGCTCTGGGGGCCAGGGGAGAGGACCAGGAGAAGTCTCTCCCTCTTATACACAGAGACATAAAGGTAAAGAGACAAACAATTTACTCTCAGGTCTGACTCCTGTGATACTAAGAGGCTACTGTCCTCATCAGCTCAACTCCAACTCCACCAGAAGTGTTCCTGTGCCCCCTCTCTGGTAGGCAGGCACCTGACTTTCTCTGGCAGGCAAGAGCCCTGACCCCTCTCTCTGATCAGGAAGGGCCTCTGTCTTCTCACTCTGAAGTAGGAGGAGAATGGAGTCCTGGGGGACACGGCCTTGCGGTTGTTCTCTGCACATCACTGCTGAACACAGGCTGGCTGATAGCTTCCACATTATGCTAATACTCACAGACTTCAGGTTTTTTTCCAGGATGTGCCAGGTGGGCTCCATCACCTCAAACATCATGTAGTACTGAATGTTCTGTACGAAGTTCAGCATCCGCTGTCGCAGAGTGAATGCGCTGGCAAACCTGCGGGCATGCAGCAATCAGACTGAGCGTGCGCTGCAAGGCCTCGAGTCTGTCAGCCCTACAGAAGATGCTTCCCTCCTCCAGCTACATGGTTCCCCCTCCCCGAGCACACCGGCAACCAGGCTGAGAATCCAGTGGACAGGATGGATCTGCCGGCCCTACAGAAGATGCTCCCTGGTGCCCGGCACACCCTGCCTCAGCAATGATGAGGACACGTGCACTGTCCTAGCTGAGAGCAGAGGGAGCAAGGCCTTCTTCCACGCCTATAGCTCTGAGCTATCAGGTGAGAACGGAACACACCTCAGTCCACACTCTGACAACCCACTGGGGTGGTATTAACCAAACTAGCAAGACTGGAGATAAGGACAGAGGTCAGGGAGCCAAGAGCACTGCCCGGAATGACCCCTGTGAGGAGCTGTTTACGCAGTACTTCCTCAGGGCAGCATCAATAGAGCAGTGCTGCACAGAGACTCCAGGTCAGATGGTGCTGAGGCCCCACTGCTCCCTGCACCCTGGACAAAACTGTCCAGAAAAGGACCCTTTTGCATGCAGACCCTTCCTCATGCAGCCTGAGGAAAGGCTCATGCTGCTGCACTTGGAAGTAGACTCTAGGAAGCTCTTCAAGCAGGACAGGGTGGATGTACCACTTGGCCGAGTGCAGGGCGTGCTGCTTGGCGGTCTTGTTGCTGACCCAGACGCTGCAGAGCTGCCGCTCCACATGCTTGCAGTAGAACATGTGCCGGAAGAGCATCTGGTATCGAGTCAAGGCTTTCCTGCAGGAGGAACACAGATAAAGACTACACAGGCCAAGATAAGACAGAAATCTCTGCCCCAGAGTCCCCATGGGGTGGGGTTTGGGCTCTGTGAGGATGGGAGGAGGAGGAGGGTGGGGCTGCTGAGCTGGGGCTCTTGGGAGGGGCGTCCTGCAGGGAGTGAGGGTCTGCTGGAGGCATAGCTCTGGAAGGCCTGCAGCAGAGGGGGCTCTCGGAGCGAGGCTCTGAGGGTCTGCTGGGGTGTGGTTCTGGCACTGTGGGGGTTACTGGGAGCACAGTTGTATGGGAGATGCTGACGGAAGTGTGACTATGAGGGGGGCTGCTGAGGATGTGCCTCTGGGGCTCCTGGGGGCTTGACTGTGGCATGGGGCTGCACACTAGTAGCAGGCCCCATCTACGCCCAAGGCTGGAGAGGAGTAGGAAGGGGTGCACTTACCTATTGATGATTAGCGACAGGGGCCACTTAACAACATAGTCAAAGGAGAAGGCCTCCAGGCCACTCAAAGTGAGCTCTGTGGGCTCAGCACTAACCAGTGCTTTCTCCTGCTTGGTCTCGATGGCTAGGACACGCAGGAGCTGGGTAATGAGGTCATGGGGCATCAGATCGATCTGGGGAGAGTGGACAAGAAAGCATCATCTTTGGGTGAGACTTCAGACTGGCCCTAATCCTGGACCGTAAGCTAGACAAATCCAGGCTATACTCAAGCTTCTCTGGACACTATGGACGGTAAAGACTGGCTTATGAAATGCCTATTAACCCTAACATCAAGATCAGAAGGATGGAGGGAAAGCACAGGAGAGAAAGCCCCAGGTAAGACGGACTGATAAAGTAGGGCAAGAGAGGTAGGTGTGTTGGAGTGAGACTGACTCAAGACAGGGCAGGCTTCAGAGCTGTTGTACACAGGGTCACTATGAGTCGCAGGTGACTCGACGGCACATAACAACTTAACCTAACACAAAGCCTAGGCTGCCCACTTTTCATTAAAATGGAGCGAGAAAAACACAAGTACTCAAATTCCTCAAACTTTTATAAAACAATACAAGATAGACTACAAAGAAAAAACCATAAATCTGATGAGTCCTTTGGAAGAGATGCCACAAACAAGGTTGAGATCTGTAAGACAGCTGGGGTAAAACAGGACTGACAGACTCAGGTTCACGTCAGGTTGTCAAAGCCATGCCAAGGCCAATGTGACAACATACCACAAACCACGGTCAGTGGCTCATGAAAAAGAAAGCAAGAACACACAAAGCATATGAATACAAGAAAACATGTCACCTCCCACAGCTGCCCCCCCTTCAGTTGGAAGGCTGGTACTCTGCCTGTACTCTCGACCCTGCCAAGAACCACCCTTACATCTACTTGTTTGCGCTAGCGCCCAAGGCCACAGTCGACACAGGCCCCTCTCTTGGCGCTCTTCCGCACATCTGCATGTAATTTCTACATGTAATTCCCATAGGGCCTTTTCTCTCAATGTTCCCCACATCTACGCAGGTTCTCACGCCTGTCACCCTAATAGGCCTGTTTGCAACCTCCATGGATCTGCAGGCCCTTCATAGCCCCAACAGGCACCTCACAGACCTCCCACCCCGATGGCCTGACAGGCCCCTCTGGGTGTCCTCAGCCCACCTTAAGGTCATCCTTGAAGGGATCTGTGTTGGCAGTGCTCATGCGCAGGGCCAGCTCTAGCAGGGCCTCCAGGCGGGGGGGCGTGATGTCATCCACTGGCTTCTTCAGCTCCTCTTCAGTGAGGTCCATGAAGTGCACAAAGAAATCCCCCTGGTCCATTAGGAAGTAGCGCTTGATGGACCTGGATAGGGCAGACCAGTGACAGGGGGACCTTGTGAGGGGCCTGACACGGCTGCGCAGTGCCGGCTCTAAAGGAAACCAGGGCAGGGGCAGGAGAGGGCCTCTTAAAGGCAAGGCCCACCATAGAGACCAGTGTCTGGGTGTGGGCCCAGCCAGGGTACTCCGGGCGTGGTGGACACAAGTCCACACAGAGCACCGACCCATAGAGTCAATGAAGGACAGGCAGAGCACTCAGCTGATGGGCTGCTCAACACAAATGGATCTTAGAGACTGTCCCTTTGTCCTGGCTGTGACAGGAGGAAGTGCTGACAGTGATGGCTGAGCAGCTCCAGACCAGAGTGAGCAGTGCTACCATGTGAGCAGAGCTCAGGGCCCAAGACACCTCAGCCAAAGTGGCAACAACACATACACAGCAGAGAAAGGAGTGTGCAAGTCCTCCAAAAGTGTGTGAGATGTGCACGCAGACACCCCTCATGTGTATGAGATGTGAGGGCAAAATTCCGTAGGCGTGTGTGAAGTGTGTGCAGTGGAATGGTGACTGTACAGCCTTACACGTGATGGGAGACAAGTGCGTCAAGTCCCATACAACATACAGGGAGAACAAGTGTGTACAAACCCTACATAACGAAGCAAAGAAGGGTGTACAAAACTCCATGTGATGCTGGGCAACAAGTACTGAGTCCTATGCAACACGACTGGGGATGAGTGTGCAGAGCATTCCCATTTCCCATCCCCATCGCACATTCCACAGACGACACGCTACACTGAAGTGTCATCATCCATTTAGGGTGGGCCACATGTGTCCCAAACCTCAGATGGGCAACGAGCTCCTTCTCCTGCATCAGGAAGTCCAGGAGCACCTTGCTGGCGTAGTTGAAGGCCTTCTCTATCTGCTCCACATATGCACGCTCCTTCAAAGTATAGGTGATCTCCTTGGCCACTGGGCAAGTGACATCATGACCACACTCACGCACCACATTCAGGTATTTTCCTGAAAGAGGAGACTGCAGTTTGTGCTGTGTAAGCCTGAAATCTCAGGATCTACACCCAGAACCAGCTCACAGCCTAGAACACACGGCACAGAGTAGGTTGCTGTTGGGTGCCAGAGTTGACCATGGCTCACAGGATCCCTAGGAGGGTAACTAAACCACCAGCCTACCTGCGCTGCGGCCCACCTGTGCTCAGAACCTTGTCTGCCATCTTCTGCAGGAAGGAGGGGATGTGGGGCTGCACCACGGTGTACCTCTGGTCCCAGTACTTGTCATTATAATCCTCCTGGATCTTTTCCTTTCGTAGTTCATGTTCTTCCACCATAAACTCGCTGCATGAGGAACAGAGCCCACTCAGACACATGGGGCAGGAGACAGACACTGCACCTGGGATGCTGAGGGGTGGCTCAGCATGGGGGTCTATGCCCCAAAAGGGAGGAGGGGGCTCAGACACGGGGGCTTCATCCTAAATTGAAGGGGTCTCAGACATGGGGGGCCATGTCCTGTTTAGGGAGGGGAGGGGGGACTTACACGCAGAGGGCAGTGTTCTGGGTGGCATAGGGGGCAAAGGACCCTCAGATTTAAAGAAGAGCAACACAGCAACTCATCCCCAAGTGCCGGGCCACTGTGGTGGGCACGCTGACTGCCCCCTGATCAATGGCATGGAGTGAGTTTCACCTTGGCTCCCTCAGGAGAGCCATGGGTCCCCCATGGCCCATGCCTGGTGGTGCCTACCTGTAAGGGTCGTCGATAATGCCCCGGTAAATCCACTTCTCCAGGATCTCGAAATAGGGCACGCTGGCAGCCTTGGTCAGATACAGACACAGTTCCTGGGCCTGGCTATCCCCAGTGTAGTTGAAGCTTCTGTCGTGGAGGAGGCTGAGGGTCGAGCCCCCCAGACACTCACCTTTGTCCACTGACGTGGCTGCAAAGAGAGGTAGTTCTACTGAAGGCAGAGGACACCCTCCCCGGTGGCTTTTAGCCCTCCTGCTGGCACAGCGTGGCTACTGAAGTGTGGCACGCCTGGCCTGCAGCACCCTAACGAAGCCGCGGTCACAGCTTTCCTTACACAAACTTGAGTTCCCCTAAAATGACAGGCTTTGTCCTCATGCTTTGGGTTCCAGAAGTCTTCAACTTGGAGCAATAACCTGGGCCAGAGTGGAAACCACTCCCTCATCCTCCCCAATCTCTTCATCTTCCTCACAACCACACTGAGCTGCATTTTCAGTTATGAACTCAGTGCTGGCACCGCCGAGTGAGACCACTTAGAACATCCACCAAGTGCAACCACCCAGCACTCCTGCCTGGCACTCCTGGCCAGTATGGCCCAGCATTTCTGCCCAGCACGGCTCAGAGCTCCTGCCCACACCAAGTGTGCCCACTCAGAGCACCCGCCTACTACGCTGGTACCGAGTGAGGCCAGTATGTCCATCGTGCGCATGGTTGGCTGGATGTAGAACCAGAGCTTCTGCAGCGATAGCAGACCCTGCCTCTGCAGCTGCTCCAGCTGTGTGATGAGGATGAGGTACTCCTTCACCAGCATGCGCATTGCGGCCGCCAGGGCGTGGTTCACCTGTCCATACTCAAAGGACGACTTCTCCTCAATGAACCTGCAGAAGGACACCAAGCTCCCTGAAGAGGGACAGCCTTCACGGACAAACACAGCACCGCTTGCCCTAGCCTCCCATCCTGTGTGGCCTGAGGTGGAAAACAGTGCAGCACACACATGCACAGCTGTACTTCCTGGGCTTTGAGTCAGGAGCGAGGCTGGTCTGTAGACAGAGGGACACTTTCTGAGAGGGTACATGACTCCTGCAGTCACAGTATCCTCTCCCCTTTGTAGGGCAAACCTGACTGTGAGAGTTGAGTCTTGGTCCATTTGGTGCCCACCTACCTGGTCACAGTGGAGTAGCTGGCAGCCACTGGGAGGATCCTGTTGACCAATTCCCTGACAGACAGGTCCATGTTGGGATCCACAAGGAAGGTGCGGCTCTGCCGGCTAGTCAGGGGCTGCGCAGTAATGTACCTGCCGTCCACACCAGCTAGCATGTAGAGGAGGTCTTCCACGATGGCTGACTCCTGGGAGTTCAGGGGCAGAGAGCCTGTGGGGTAGTTCGGCATCTGTGAACATACTCTGATGCCGACTCCATCCCAAAGGCTCCCCAACATTCATGGACACAAAAGGCAGGTGTTTGCATGGGGCCCTGGGGCAGAGATCCCCATCCCTCAAGCAAAGCACGCCGGCTCAGCAGTAGCTGGCCAGAGACCCAGCAGATGAGATGCAGCACACATCTAGAGCAAGGCTGGAGGTTCCTTTTCAGGCAACTGAAAAAAAGGTCTACGTTTAGGGACACATTTGACATTAGCAAATCAATTCAGGAAAGTACTATATTTTAGGGCATTTTTATCGTAGGAGTATGCAATGAGGGTTGCAGAGTGGATTATATTTGGGGGTAGGGGGGGGGGTTTGGGGGGGGGGGGGGGGGGATTGTGTACCAATGAGGGAGTTTTTCTTTTGCTTTTCAAGGAGAGGAGCAAATGGGGGGAGGGGGGAGGGTTTGTGCGGGGAGAAGGGTGCAACAATGAATGAATGGAATCCCAAAATCTCTGTAGATGTTCATTGAAATGAAAAATAAACAACCTAAATTAAATTTAAAAAAAAAAATCAGGAATGTAAAAAGCACCGTCCACACGAGGGTTACTGCAGGGTTTACGTCACAACTTGGGAGTGTTTGCTCTGGGGCAAAAGCAGTTCCCTTAAAAGTTCACCACACTCTCCATCGCATGCACATGCAGCACAGAGGCCGAGGAAGGCACTGTTTGCTCCCCTGTGGACTTTCTGCAGACCTCAAGGTCAGCGTAGGTTGCCTCCTGGACTGCCCACCCAAGAGGGACCCTGAGACTGAAGGGCAGCACAGAAGAAGAGACAGTGCTGCCAGCACACAGGCAGCTTTGGGTGAGGCCTTGCGGCAACACCAGCTATATGGGAGTTTGAAGCCAGGTCTCAGGAGCTGTCACTGTCACCACAGGACACTGGGCTGCGAGTATATTCGACTTGGGCAAGTTTAAACCACAACAGGCAGACACGTCCAAACGTCTTGCATACCTATAGGCAGAGCCGTGTCAGTGCCCACCCCCGAGCCAGCCAGGAAGTCCCCCGTCAGCGCTGGTCGCTCATACACCCAGGCTGGGAACACAGGGAGGTGTTGGCCTGAGTTCTTCTTATTCTGCTTCTCTCGAAGCATCTTTCTTGTTAGTTCTAGAGACTAATAAAAAACATTTTAAAAAATAAAAATTAAGACATGCTTTCAGTACAAACATTTAAAACAAACACACCTTTGACCAACAAAATGTCAAATTAGGGGAACTCTGGTGGCCTAGGGGCTAGATGCTGCAATGCAATCCTGAAGGCACGCGGTTCAAATCTGCCAGATGTTCTGCTGGAGAAGGAGTGGCAATCTCCTCCTGTGCCAGTAGGATCCAACTCGTCGACACAAGAAACAAAAGAAAACATCAAATCTTTGACACCTACATGGAACAGCGACCTTTTGTGGAGCTGCCCAACAACTGTGAGTCACCAAGAGAACGCTACTGGAAGGTGGACTCATGCCTCCCTTTGGGGAGGCCCCAGTCTAGGGAAACTTGCTTTTTATGCCAGAGGCATAAAACACAACCACTGGCTCTGGCAGACTCCAGAGAGGGGGTCCCAAGTTACTTCTGTCACTCCTCAGAGAAGGCACCTCAGGCTAGCCCTGTCATTTGTTAGATAGGGTGCCCCGGTTAGGCCTGTTATTCCTCAGAGAGGGAGTCTCCACGTGTCCCTGTCACTCACTGCTGGCAGCAAACCGTCTGTGTAATGCAACCAGCTGCATGGACACCGTGTTCCTGCCTGAGGCCTCTTGGGGAGAGGACAGCACTGTAAGGCCACACAGGAAGGGTCTGCTCCCAGCATCCACAGAACCAAATTGTGGAGCTGTGGGCCTGGTGGAGGAGCACTGACTCAGGAGGGATCCGCCACTGAGGTCGGCAGCTTAGGTGCTAACTCCACTCTCCACTGGTGACGTGTCCCAGTCTACTGCTGTTACCAGAGTATTGCCTGCCCACCATGAAGGAAGGCTGAGCACAGAATCTGGCTGGACAAAATGCTGAAAGGCTGCTGTATTGCTGCTGCACTCTAGGAGGGTCAAAGCCCTGCTTGCCAAGCTCACGGTCAAGTGACTGTAACTCACAGGCACTGAAGGGGCACTTGAAGGATACAGAGGTCTTAAACCCATAGCTATGCACAGAAAGATGTGGAGAGAACTGAGCAAAGACTAGGAGACCATGAGAATCCCTCAGAACAAGAACATGGAAAAACACCCAAGTTTACTGATGGCTACCAGGAAGAAGGGAGGGGGCCAGGGCAGTCACTGTTTAGGAAGCAATAACCAGCTATCACGGTGATGAGAAATATAGTAGCAAACATTGTGATGGCTGCACCATGATAAACGTCATGGGTGTCACTGAATTGTCTGCCCAATAGATTCTGAGTTGGGAAACCTTAGAATACAAAGCAAAAACAAAAATGAAAGCAATAAACAGAAACAAAAAAGATCTCTAATAGAAACGCAAACACCAGAGGAGGAAACAATCCAGGCCAACTCTGAGAACACTCCGGGAAGGAGGAGCATGGGGAAGCAAGCCCTGAGCTGGGCGTCTGGGGGCACATGCCTACCTGCTGCAGCGTGGAGCCTGTGGTCACACTGCCAAGCTGTCTCCGCAGCTCCTCCAGCTCCTGCGTAGAGATCTTGGAGGCGGAAGCAGGGACACTGAAGCTAGGGCTAGAGCTGGCCACAGCGCTGGCCGCAAGCTCAGCCCTCTCTTTCGCATTCTGCTGCAAATACTGCAGAGTCTGAAAATGAAAACAGAAAGAGGTACATGGAGGCAAGGGCAGTATGCGCCAGTGACGGGAAGGAATAAGCCTCAGATGAGCAATGGAGGAAGCAAAGAAGAACCATTTTCACAATTTTTCCCTCTTTTCCCTCACAGGGTCCCCTCATCAGCACATATTGAAACCTGGGATGTTCACAGAGCCATCCTGCTGGCCCGTCAGACCTGCAAAGTTTCAGCTCATCAAAGGGTCTCACATTCCAGCTAAGCCACTCTCCCTACTATTCTCAGTGCCATTCCCATCTCCCCCCCACCTGTTCTCAGCACCCCCCGCGTCTCCCACTGTCCTCAGTGGCCCCTGTATCTCCCTCACTGTTCTCAGTGTCGCCCTGGTGTTCCCCCTCCCCCCACCCCCAGTTCTCAGTGCCAACCCTGTCCCTCTATACGCCTCTCGGTGCGGCAGCCCTTGTGGTAATCTTACTCCTTTAGTCTAAACAGATGGGCCTGTGTCAAGGGGGCTGTAGTATCTGACATATTACTGGAATGTACCACAGTCACGTTCCTTTGGCACAAATGGATTTTCTTCCTTAAAGTGAAAATAAAACACTAAAAAAATACAGTGTGACTCACAAATAAATCACCTTCTGCACCCCAACTCCTTGCTCACTAAGCACACACACCTGTCTAATGTGCATGAACACAGGCCACAGGATGGCAGTGCTGTGACCCCATTGAACACTGTGACCAAAGGCAACCAGTACAGGCGATCCTGGCTCATGAGGTACTTGGTGTACACTGAGAAGTGGCTCAGGGCCACTGTCCCCAGCAGAGGCGCCCTCAGGAGCTGGTGTCTCCTTGGAAGAGGAGGAGCTTGGACAGCGTTCTCTGCACCTTGTCCCAGTGGGCCCCACTGTACCTCCTTGTCCTCTGTGAGTTTTGACAGCAGGTACACCAATGGGTCCAGGCTCCGAGTGTTTTTAGACTTTAGTTCATCATACTTCTTTAGGAAATCTTCTGGAGTACGAGAAAATTCTGCTATTTTAACCTTGAAAGCATGAACATGAGTGACTTAAAAAGTGCCATTAACACTGAGCACTTATCTTCCAGAAAATAAACACAAAAAGCAAAGGGCTTAATTAGCTAGACTGAAGTAAAGTAGGAGGTGCTCACCAGAATCGAGTTAAACCTGCCCATTGCTTTTATGGACTTGATGAAATTCGGCTCCATTTCTACTACTTAATGTCATCATCTTGCCCCTCTCGGTTTACCACAAGGCTCAGGCTCAGGAGTGATATCTCCCATTGACAGTTTAGAATGTTCCCTTTATAAGAAATTAAATGCAATGGGCTCCTCAGTTCTGTTTAACTAACTTGTCTAATCACTTTTGTGCTATTATTCAAATAAATAATAAAGCTTCATAATTTGCATTTCTAACAATAGGTTTCAAATTCAAAATAATTTTCTATAAAATGCTTGTAATTTTGAATTCTTTTATGGGAATTATGTGAACCGAAAAATGACACTTGAAAACTTGGTCCCAGAGGCTCCCTAGGAGGTGCCATGCACTTCCTTCCTCTAGGGTCACTGGGCAGGCCCTGGTTTTGAGTTGGGATTCAAGCTCTCCCCAAATCTCCAGCTGCTCCTCAGGAAATCTGGGAGTGGAAGGAGCTTGCATGAGGCCTTGATCAAATCAGACTTCCTCACCCTGGCACATCCGCCTGTCTGCCAGAGGCTCACCTTGGCACTGTGTGCGGAGACGGTGGTTGTGACGTACGGCGTTCTGTTCTTCTGCAGCAGGTCGATATAGACTTCTGCCCCTTCACCCCCATGGACACGCAGAAGACTGAGCAATTCATTGACATCATGATGAATCCGGAATTCACTCATGACTGAACCACCACCATCACAACACTAACTCCTGGGGGTGAGAAAAACACTGCAGATGAGACTTGAAAAGCAGTGTAACTGGGCCAGTGCCAGGCTTCTGTTAAGCTCTGTACCTTCAGATGTCACCACAATAGCCTTTTGCTGGTGGCACTGTCTCCTGACCCAGCAGGGAGGCTGAAGCCCAGACCCCAGTCCAGGAGCCTCCAACTGGCTCTAATATCCTAAGCCCTTCAGCTGCAGCTCCATACACCAATCTAGCACCAGGAACATGTCCTCTGCTTGCAAGCTCAGCTGTACACAAACGCTTCTTAGAAGTCAGATGTCACACACTTCCTGTGCCCTTGCACTGGGCAGGGACCAGCGTTAGCAAAGACTGTCCTCTGGATGCCAGGATCTCACCATCAGATATAAATCCAGTATTCACTAGGTGGAGAGTGGGGTACCACAGGACTTTGTCCTGCCATTGACCCATCATTATCAAGAGAGCTGCCAAAGGAGATGAAGAGAAATTCAGGCAGTACATACCACAGTTTCATAGCACAAATGAGGTCACCTTCAGAGGCTTCACAAACACTGCAGTGCCAGCACACGCCCAGCCCAACCCCAGGCCCAGGTATGCTCAGAAATCAGATGCTAGATCACCTGTCAATTTTCTGGGGAGGCTTTCGTCAGTTTTGCAAAGGGCTGTGTGTGAAAATGTCATGCAGTTTACTGTCTGTTTTTGTTGTTAGGTGACATCAAGTCAAGTACAACCCAAACAAACCCTATGAACAACAGATCTGAACCCTGTGCCATCCTCACACTACCTGACACATTAGAATCCATTCTGGCAGTCACTGTGCCAACCCACCTGGTCGATGGTCTTCCTCTCCTTCACTGACCCTCTACCTTTCCAAACATGATGTCCCTGTCAACCCCTCCTAGCAACATGCCCAAAGTATGTCAAACAAAGCTTTTTATCATCTTTGTCTGCGAGCACTCTGGCTGCACTTTCTCCAAGACATACTTATTTGTACTTTTTGGCAGTCCATGGGATGTTCAGTGCTCTTTTCCAACACCACACCTCAAAGACATAAATTCTTCTTCTGTCATCCATATTTATTGTCCAGCTCTCTGATGCACAGCAAGTGACTGGAAAGACCATGGCCTGAATCAGACACATCTTAGTCTTCAAACTGACATCATTACTCTTCAATAATTAGGAGAGGTCCCCAACTGTGGACTTTCCCAGTGTAATACATCTCCTGAACTCCTGACTGCTAATACTAAAAGTGTTAACTGTCAATCTTTATCATGATGTTGTCTATCTGTTCAGTACTAAAGATCTTTGTTTTCTTGACATTAAGATACAATCCATAAAATGTGCAAAAATGAATGAATGGAAATACAAGTTCCTTACAAACTTTCATTAAAATATCAATTAAAAAATCTTACAAGTTTAATAACAAATAAAAATATGCAATCCATATTGAAGGCTGTATTCTTTGATCTTCTGCAGCAGGTGCTTCATGTCCTCCTCACTTTCAGCAAGAAAGGTTGTGTCATCTGCATAACATAGGTAATTGAGTCTTCCTCCAACCCTAATGCTACTTTCCTCTTCATGAGTCCAGCTTCTCGAATAATTTGCCCAGCATACAGATTGGATAGTTATGGAGACTGAATACAACCCTGACACATTCCCTTCTTTATTTTGAACCATGTAGTGTTCCCTTGTTCTGTCTGTACAACAGCTTTCTGGTCTAGGTATAATAATCAGTTGTGTGCTAGAAGCCTCTTGTTTATGCAGCTTACTATTATTTAGAATTTCATATTGAGTAAACTAAAACCTAATCCTATCCAGCAGGATTAACAAAAAATAGCTTCTCAGTATACAATCTTTGTACTAAAAGCATCAAATACTAATCAAAAGCAGAACGTCTCCAACAATGAAAATGGTGGACAACTGTGAGCCAGTGGAAAATGCTGGAAAAGCCTTCACCTTCCTCCCTGTGGCCAGAAAGAACTGGATGGGGCCCTGTGACCACTGCTGACCCCCTTAAAAGGACCACAGTAGGTAGTCTTAGACAGAGTATGTGGAAAATATGGGGCAAAACACAAAAACAATCAGGCTGACTGGTCCGGTGATAATGCTAGGTGCCGTCCAGCCACCTGCAACTCATAGTGACCCTGTGTGAAACAGTCTGAACTCTGCCCTCGCCTAAGCTACTCCCACAGTCTCTGACACAGCTACCCCATTACCCCAGTTACTGTGTCAATCCTTCTCATCCAGAGTTTTTCTCTCCTGCACTGTCCCTCCACCCTTCCAGGCTTGATGTCTATCACCAAGAACTAGCCTCTCCCGGCAACATGTCCAAGTATGTGAGACAGAACTGTAAAATCCTTGCTTTCAAGGAGCAGCTTGGTTAGAAAGGGGTATCATGCTTGGAAAGCTGGAGGGTCAGTGCAAAGGAGGAAGACCTCTAATGAGGTGGATGAACTGGGGACTGCAGAAGTGGGGTCAAGTGCATCAGAGATGATGATGGAACAGGGAAAGGTGGGACTCTTCTGCTCTTCAGCGTAGTTGAGTCATACCCAACCCGACATCATCGCACAACGACAGAGCACAGGTGCCTAGTCTGAGAAGGGACACTGGAGCACCTCCCCCTCATAAGTGCCTTGGACTGACAACATCCAGCACTGGCTACCACACGTAGTGACCCCTGCAGCTGACAACGGTTGCTGCTCCTACAGAAAGCCTGGAAAGCATGCTCTATTATCTGGGAAATGGCTAGCCTTGGAGTCCAAGATCAGCACTGTCCCTCCTGCAAAGGACCTGGCCACGTCTCCAACTCCGGCAGCCAAGGCTTCTGCACCGCCCAGGGCCCGCGGGCTCTGCCTCGAGGCCGGAGCCTCCGCTGGGTAAACGATGACCCAGCTGCTGAGAGCGGCTTCTGAACAAACGGAACTGCTGGGCAGTCCTCCGTCCCCGCCGTTCCGCCCGGCCCTGGACGTCAACTCTGCAGCGACGGCACTCGGCGGGCAGGACGCACCCCGCTGCCCAGCAACTCGGGGGTCCCCCCCGAGCCAGGCGGCGGCCGTCGGACAGGGCGCCGGGAGGGCGGGGGCTGGACACAGGGCGGGGGCACGGGCGCGGGGCCCGGGAGGACGGGGGCCGCAGGGTCGGCCCGGAGCCGGGGGGCAGGGCG